CAGAATACGATCGTAAAGAACCACGCGACAAAGGAGACATGTATGGAAATCATTCAGCCAAGAGAAGACTATGGAAGGAAATCTGGCATCTAGAAACATCAGAGAATGCTTTTAGATAAAGAAAGAAGGACTTCTTCGACGAACATATGCTTTTCTTCCTACATACAGTGAGAAAGCCTCCACCCAGTCTCTTGCAGTTTAAGACGATGTCTAAAAGGTTTCCATGGCACCTTGTCATGCTGCTTGGAAGTGGATTTGCTCTGGCGGAAGCTTGTAAAGTAAGTTACAATTCATGTGGCTTATATCAATCCTCCACTTTCGTTAAAACAGAACTCACATGCCACAATCCATGGTACGACAAATCCTTTCAAGTTTATCTGGTATGTTATCACGTTTTGTGAATTTTTTTCAATGCAGGCAACAAAAGGTGCACCTTTAACACCGCAGTAATCCGACAAAAAAAGAAGATTCCATCTCTAATGAGATAATGCCATAACATCGTCATCTCAGATTAAGAAATGAAAATTTAAATTTATTTAAGAAGGCCGAGAGTTTTGCTCCTTATCTTGTAATTAAACCTCTATAGGCAATTTGGTTCGCATTCAAATCGTGTAACTATTCTTTAGTTCCCACGGGGGGAAGGGGAGGGAGGTATCTGGTATCTTTCTACAGTTTTTTAAAGAAATGTGGATTACAAAGGGATTTTGGGTTAATTGACCCTCTCGCTGTCAGGTTTCAGGTCTGTCTGAGTGGGTTGGTGCCCAGCTAAGGCAACTTGATGCCATTCCAAGTTACGCTATCGTGATGTGTGTCTGTATCATGATCACCACATTCACTGAATTCACTTCTAACGTAGCAACAGCCACCATTTTTCTACCCATACTGGCCTCCTTGGTAAGTTTCCTTTTCCTGATTATCGTATTACCACGATCGTGAAGAACCTTGCAAAATAACGAACTAAATGAGGTAACAAGCTCAAAGAAGCAAAAAGTCTTCAACGGGTGAAGCTCAAAGGAACTATGAGCTTTAACGGAGGAATACTCAATGTCCAAGTACAAATATACCAGCATATCTTCAGTAGATCAGAGTAATTTTCACCGGAACGCTCATTAACTTGTAACAGCGCCACAAACTTTGTGACAAAACGTTGCTCAGACAATGTCTCATCTAACAGCGTCTAGTAAACACAGTTGTACGACTAAAATAATAATTCCACAGGCAAAAGCGATCAAGGTTCATCCCTGGTACATCATGATTCCTGCTACAATTTCTTTCTCGTTCGCTTTCATGTTACCAGTTGCCACACCTCCAAATGCCATCGTGTTTGCCGGCGGACATCTTAAGGTTAAGGACATGGTTAGTATAAGTCACTTTTTTCAATTTGTATAAACCGCCTTTAGCCTTTCCTATCTAGAGCACGGACGGGTCATTATTGTAAGGTCTCTAATATTTCTCTGAGGTTCTCTGATTGGTGGCTTCTGGGATTTGAACTTGACATTCGCGGGAATTGGTATTCAATAGGATACATTACACAAATATTTGCAAAGCAAGTCATCAGAACGATTACTTTTTTATTTCATCTAAGTTTCCAATGATAGAAATGCCGCCATCAGGTAAGAACAAGTCTGCTTGCTGAGCGGTTGGCAAAGGTATACGCCGTAAACCTTTGCCAACCGCTCGGAACGTTTTTGCGCGCAGATGGAGTGTCTTTCAGTTCCGATGTAAAACCGAAACCAAGAAATCACAACAACCACTCGTACCAAAGGCAGAGAGAGCATTTTCAATTCAGTGTGGAGGGTAAACTTGGTTTGTATTGGCAATGCTCTACTCCGCTCTGAGACAGTTCCAGAAAACTCGCACCGCTCAACCAATCAGATGTCGGCAAAGCTAAATCCAATCGCGACTCGGCCTCCCAGTTTTTTCCGCGCCTCCGGCCGCTTACATGTATTTTCTTCTTACTGAGTTCCCCGAATCTTTGTGGAATTCATATTTGTATTGACTGGCCGATGTCATCGTTATAGTTTTGGTATTTCGACACTCCATCGGTAACCGCTCTATCACAAGGAACTAATTCATTACCTGCGGCACGGAATCGGTAATAGCAAAGCTCTTTTCTTTTTTTTAATGGGGGTTAGTTTTTAAAGAAACTGTGGCGCTCCATTGGTGGTGGTTGGGTGGATGAGAGGGAAGGTATAACATCATAACTTGTTTTTAAAAACTGAGTTGCTTTGTAAATTGGCCACCGGAAAGTTTTTGAAGCAGACGTTTCGAGTGTTAGCTCTTTGTCAGAGTGTACAGGGCTAAAGCTCGAAAAGTCAGCTTTAAAAGCACTTTTCGACTCATTTGATAGAACCAAATCACCTTTTGGTTACAGTTTTGTTCATGTTTGTGTGCACATTCATTTTCACCCTTGAAATCCACAGAGAAACTAGCTATTGTCTCTTTCCTTTTTCTTTGAATTCAGGCAAAAGCAGGTTCGGGAATGAATCTCCTGGCAGTAATAGTGCTGGTGATTTGTATGAACACATACGGAGTACCAATGTTTGACCTGCATGACTTCCCAGACTGGGCTGGAAGCAGCGGTGCAATCAGTGCTACTGCGACTCCGACTCCCTCTGGCAATATCACGTTGTTATGCCTTAACTTTACTTCTTCGTAAACTTTGGGTTCGCTCGTAATTTGACAACTTTTAGATTGAGGAGTTAGCAATCTTAGGTTTCCAGGGGTATCTCTCCTTCCCATTCCCCTAGGAGACGGATAAACGGGGAAAAGAGACTCTTACACAAGAATGAAGAGAGAGTAGAATATTAGAACACATTTAGCGATAACGGATGGACTTTAAATATTTCCTTTTCCCTGTGATAAACTACAATTTTCTGAAGGGATAGTTTCTTTCTATAGCGAGTCCTTTCCACGTAATGATCGCTAAACCCCATGCCCAAAGTGCTGTGCTTTGGTACCGTAGTCATTTGTCCAGCTTCTGCACCATAAAAAATTATGGCTACATTGTTAAAGTCTGTCCTTCTTGACATCGTGAACTAGTTCCCCTTTTGTTTTCTTTGTTTGTTTCGGATGCTTGTCTAATCTGGAAATATATTATTCAGAGGTTTCATTCTAGTTAGCGACAATTTTCAACAACTTGAAGAAGAATTTACACAAAATATCGTAAATTAGGTCCTTATAGCGCCGAAACTGTTCAGGCGCTCGTTACAGAAACGAGAGAAGCTACTGACTCGTTCTTAATCAAGGTGTTTTGTTTTTTACCCTCCCGATGATAAAATCAGGGGACAGTTTATCGAATATATTCCATATTGCCGTGTGTCTTCTCAGTAACAGATCACAGCTGACGTCAAAATGTGGTGAGAACAAAAAAAGTGGCACACAAGGCGCAGCTTACATTTTGAGGTCTTTTGTGATCTATTACGACCCTATTACTGTAGAGACCTGCGGCAACATGCAATCTGTTTCACATAACAAACGAGCAAATATATAGTTGTTAGTGGTGACTTCACCTTTGCTTCTGTCCTCCAATTTATCATATGTAAAAATATATCAACTTGCACGTTTAATTTAGCTTATTTTATGATTGTGAACTGACCAAATGGGATTCTCGTCCACATCTTGACTATTGTTAATAAGCCCCTTCAAGCGTCCATTTAACCTGTTCAGTAGCTCAAATCTGAAACGAGAGAAC